TCTCTTAATCCTAATCTAATAAGATAAGATAATCTAATCTACTAACTTAATAAGATAAGAATAACAAGATAGTCTAATCTAATATGCTGAATGGATAAGACTGTTGCTGCCGAATTGGATAGGATGAGAACACCGGATCATTGCTGCTGCTTCTCCCAATACGCATCCACATCATGTTGGAAGCTCCTTTTTCAACATTTCCTATCTTGTCTTGGCCCATACTCTTTTGGTCTTCAATGCTGACACCTATAGGTTGAAATTATTCATTCATAGCTTTAGCTCTAGGATGGTGTTAACATGAAAGAAATCACCTTTATCTTCAACTTCATACTTCTCATTGGCTTCAAATTCTTTGTTGTAACCAGCTACTTCTCTATCTTTAGAGCCAATTCAATAGCATGATCCAAGTCATAAATTTGAACAGTAGACAATTCATTCTTGATATCATCCCTTAGTCCATTTGTTAAATGAACTAATTTGTGCCTTTGACTTTCTGTAATCTCACATCTAATATATAATTAATCAAACTTATGCATAACTTTAACTTTTTTGCAAACACCTCTTCATATCTGCCTGCATGGTAATAGGATATTTATATTCTACTCTGTTTTCTAGTTGTTGCTCAAGAGTTCTCCACCATACTCTAGCATGACCTGCAAGCTTCATGCATGCAAATCTAAACCTCTTTTTTTCAAACATATTATGCCAATCAAAATATTCTTTTAGTTCAGCAATCCAATCAAAGAATGCTTGCAGGTCTTCATCTCCTTGAAATTAGGGATTTTCTTTTCTCTTGTGACATTCTTGAAAACCTTACTCCTATAGCCAATATTATTAGATCTGTTTTCCTTGACCATCTTTTCAAGTAAGTCAACCATAGACCTTTTGTATGGTTCAAAGACCTGATAGTCATTGTTTCGAGACCCATAAGATTGTTTAGAAGTTACCCTAGGCTTATAGAATCACTCACTTTCTAAGAACATGGTACATAATCATTAGCTCTGATGCCAAAACTGATGTAGTAGGGATGGAATAAACTATCACAAGACTGATTTGATGTGTGTGTATTTTATATGAGAGAGTTGCCTTGTGAATACTGTTCATATCATAATTACAAAAATGGCACTCGTTTGTGCATTTTTTTTTGATAATTGACTCCTTGTCTTTTGCATTACGAAACACAGTAGCTTCTTTCATTTGATTCTCCAGCTCCTGCCCAAAATATATAGAAATACATAAAATTTCAGAAAATTCCACCTAGTGCCCAAAAATATAGAGATATATAAAATTTCAGAAAATTCCAAATTTGATTCTCCAGTTCCTCCATTAATGGGCACTTCTTTCATTTACAATTAGGAATGTGGAACAAAAAATTTATAAAAATTTCCTCTAGTGGGAACTTGTACCCATTAACCTCTACCTGATTACTTCTAAAATGGATTTTTAGATAGACATCCAATGGTCCTATTAATTGTTCTTATGGTTTGGGAGAACTTCTCCGGAGATAAAGTGGATAAGGAATTGAAAATACACTTTCTTTGTAAGTTTCACAGGCCTTAAAAGAATGTTGGTTATTATTGCTAAAATAGAAATAAGCAAGATGATATTCTTTTGTGGCATTCTGGTTTGCCCTCTAATCCTCTTATAAGGCTTTTGGATTCTCTTTTTTCTCTGATTATATTATATTTTGTTTATTTTACATGCAGTTATCAGAGTGGTTGGAGGAAAATAAGCACCTTGATTTTATTGAACATGATTATGCTTCTCGCCTTGATTTGATTGCTAAAGTACGTAATCTCCAAAAGGCTGAGAAGTACATTAAGAGTATTCCAGAATCTTTCAGAGGGGAAGTAGTCTATCGAACCCTCTTGGCTAACTGTGTTYGTTCTGTAAACATGAAGAAAGCAGAGGAGGTTTTTAACAAAATGAAGGACTTGGAGTTCCCACTCACAGTGTTTACTTGCAACCAGTTACTTTTGCTGTATAAGAAGCTTGACAAAAAGAAAATAGCTGATGTGCTACTGTTGATGGAGAAGGAAAATGTCAAACCATCTCTTTTCACATATAGGATCTTAATAGACACTAAAGGCCAGTCCAATGACATTTTGGGAATGGAGCAGTTGCTTGAGACCATGAATGCTAAAGGAGTTGAACCTGACTTACAAACCAAAGCCACTATTGCTAAACATTATGCTGATGCAGGACTCAATGACAAGGCGGACAAGGTCTTGAAGGAGATGGAAGGGAGTAATAATTTGAAGGAGAATCGTGGGGCTTCCAGGGCCTTACTTCTTCTCTATGCAGCCCGTGGAAAGAGTGATGATGTCATGAGAGTCTGGAAGGCATGTGAGCCAAACCCATTGATGGAGGAGTACCTAGCTGCTATTGAAGCTTGGGGCAAGCTGGGAAACATAAAGGAGGCTGAGTCAGTCTTTGAGAGGATGATCAAGAAAAGGAAGTCCAGCTCAAAGTGCTATACTTGCCTTCTGAAAGTTTATGCAGAACATAAGATGTTAGGCAAGGGGAAGGAGCTTGTGAAGAGGATGGCAGATAGTGGATGCCATATTCCCCCGTTGACATGGGATGCTATTGTGAAGCTGTATGTGGAGGCTGGGGAGGTGGAGAAGGCAGACTCAATCCTGAATAAGGCAGTCCAGCAAAGGCATTTGAGGCCACTATACAACTCATACATGACCATCATGGATAAGTATGCAAAGAGGGGTGATGTCCATAATGCTGAAAAAATATTCAACAGATTGAGGCAGTCAGGGTACCTTGGTCGGGTTCGGCAGTACCAAGTTCTCCTCGAGGCTTATATAAATGCCAAAACTCCAGCTTACGGCTTCAGGGAGAGGTTGAAGGCAGACAATTTGTTCCCAAACAGAGCATTGGCGTCCCAGTTGGTGAAGGTAGATGCATTCAGGAAGATAGCCATGTCGGATCTGTTTGATTGATTGGTTGATTTTTGGAGTTGTCCGTGCCTCCTTCCACTTGTGTTGCCCTGCATGGTTGGATGTATTTGGATTCCTTGAGGGGCTCAACTAATATAACACAGGGCATAAGCTCGGTCTGCAAGTGTTTGTGCTATACAATTCTTAAATTTGTACAAATGTAGGCTTGGCTTTAGAGGTGAATAACCAAACTGAATATTTTGTCAAGATGACACCCTGGCTGTTAATGTCTTTTTCTTCTATCGTATTTCCTCTCTCTATTAACTTAAATAATTTCTATCTTATTTCTTTACTCCTTTTTTTTAAAACTGACCATTGTATTTCAGCTCCTTCATTCTTTCTTTTTAATGATAAACTTTTCGTTTCATTTAATGCAAGTATATTTTTAGGGTGTTGGGATAGGGTGGGGAGAAAAGAACAATGTTAGGGCTGCAAATGGTATGCTATTTTATTTGATTTTGAGTTGCGATCGTATTAGATCTATCTGGATGATTGAATCAATGTTTAGGAACTTACCTAACTCAGGGTTCTGATGAAAAAACTCCTCATAAAAGTAAGGGGGGGGGGGGGAGTTGGCTTAGTAATTCTGCTTGTTCTCTTCTTCTTGCCCGTAAAGATATTTCTACGAAGTTAATGAGCTTAGGTCTCCTTGCTTTTCAAGGAGTTTAAGAACGTCCTTCACCTTCTCCATATCTGCAAAAGTTCAATTCAGAGACTAGAGATATAAATTTGTGCCACTTGCAAGTGGTCACAAAACATTTCTGTGCATTCATTTTGTAAATACAAAATTATTAGTTAATTGGGAAGCGTCAATATTACCAATCTTTGATTATATTCTCTGGATGTCTTACAGATGAATAAATGAAATCTGTGTTGTGCAGGTTCTCACTAAAATATCCTTGTGTGCGTGTGTTTTGGCCCTCAACATCTAGATTCAAGATCAGCATATCTTCTCATCCGAAGCAATTATTTTTCAAACAATATTCGGTAGTAGTGCTACCTAACGGGAAAGTACCTGTGGAAAAGAGTAATGTTTTATGATTCCAGTTTAGTGAACTCAAGGTTATAGGTGCTGTCCCCTTTTTTCTATACATAAAAAAATGGAATTTGAATTTTGGGTTCTCAATAGTTCATCTTGTTGATATAGCAGGTTCTAGTGCATTTGAAATTTGGAGAACAAAAACAAAGAAAGCACCAAAATCCATATCCCCAAATACAAATTCAATAACCAGAATAAAAGGCATGGGAAGAAAAATTGAAACCATTTTTCCTCTGGTGTGAAAAAAAGTGTTATTGAACTCACATTCATCATCTAAGAAGCCACAATTGCGATTAAGAAAGAAAAGCAACAAATTGGAAGAACAATAAAAAACCAATGGTTGGCTTGACTTGGCACGAACCAGCACAACGGCACGATGGCACACAGACCGTCTCAGGCCCGACACATTGGTTCGGGCCATGTTGGGTCTGGGGTTTGAAGTCCATGGGCTGGCACATCCCAGCTTGCGGCACGACCTATGACGGGCTGGCGGGCCTGTAGCGGGCCGTGCTTGGCCTATATATTTTTTTTTGGGGGGGCGGGGTGGGGGGCTTACAAAAATACCCCCTGATAATTATAAACTATATAGGGGGGTATTTATGTATTTTGGTTATGGGGGGAGAAAAAACGATACAAATGCCTCCCAATAGCTATATAACAGCTAGTTTAGGAGAGTATTTTGGGTAATTGAATTGTTTTCAATTCCTATAAATAACCCTATCATCCACCATTCTTATCACACCAATTCAACAATTCTTTTAATCTCTTCTCTAGTTCTCATACTCTCTGAAGTTTTAATCTCCCAATCTTTCAAATTCTCAATCTCCAATAAATTCTTTGAACTTTGATTGGTTGATTCTCCAATTCTCAACTTTATTGAAGTTTCAACAACAAGGCTTGCTTAACTAGCTCAAGTATCTCAAGTTAGCAATTTGGGAGGCTTGGACTCTTGGAGTTAAAAGGCTTCAACCGTTGAAATCAAGTTAGGATTCTGAATCGGCAATCTAGGTAACTCCAATTAAATTAATTTTTATTTTTTTAGAATTTAAAAAATGGCCTACTCCTCTAGAAACCAATTCCACATGTTAAGTCGACGATATTTATTCGCATCATGATAGTGTTAGCATTGTTATGGATGCTATTGATATTGATGGAACTTTCACCCCTACTACTGATATTAGGGGAAAGAAAAAGTGGGCCTCTAAGTTGATTAGCCCGGTTTGGAAAAAATATTTAAACTAGAGGAGGTTGAGGGGAAGGGAATAAAAGTTGTTTGCCAAAAATGTAGGGAAGACTTTAGCTATTGTAGCAAGGGTGGTATTGGCCATTTGGGTAGAAATTTGCTCATTGAGAAAGAAGAAAATGGAGAGAAACAACACAAACACAAATTGGGTAGGGGGTTTGGTACATTTAAATATTCTAAAGAAAAAATAATGCAACGATTAGCAAAATACATTGTACATGCTGAACAACCATTTTTGTTAGCTGAAAATACTAAACTTGAAAAATGGTTACGTAATTATGTAATCCACAATTTTAAAAAAATTTCTAGGCATACTATTAGATCAGATGATTTAAAAATTTTTTATTTATATAAACAAAATTTAATTTATATGTTATCAAATCTTAATTCTAAAGTTGCAATTACTTCTGATGTTGGAATTTTAAATTTAACATAAACTATATATGGGTTACTAGTCATTTTATTGATGAAAATTGACTTAAATAAAAGAATTTTAAGTTTTACTAGGCTTGAATGGCCACATACTAGTTATTGTTGCAAGCACTTTAAATACTTTACACACTTATGGAATTGGCAATAAATTAATTTATATTTGTTTTGACAATGCTAGTAATAATGATTCAACAATAAATATTTAAAATCTCAATTAAAATCATGTTTAAATAGTAAATTATTTTATATCAGATGTGCATGTCACATCTTAAAAATGTATTCAGGATGCTTTAAATATTATTTCTACTCATATTTTCTAAAATTAGAAATTGTATTATATATATATATATATGTATTGTTAAACATAGATGGAATTCTAGTTATGCTATGTTAGAAAGTTATATTTCTTACAAACAAATTTTTAATGATTTTTATAATACAAAAATGCCTATTGATATGTTATTTGAGGAAGACTAGGAAATTGCAATTTGTATAAGAGATTTTTTAAAACATTTTTATGATACAACTGATGAATTATTGGGTATTTATTATGAAAGGATGAGAGATCCATCATATAGATGGCTGAACCCTGCAGGTAGGTTGGGAAAAATTTCAAAAATTTCTCTCTCCCATTTGGGAATCACATTCCCTATTTTAGAAAACTGCATTTTCAAGGATCAATCTTGAAACTAAACCAGACTGGATCTAAAACCAAAAGGGAGTGGAGAGTTATACCTGATATGAAGTAACAATAACCTCCAATGAAGGCGTTTACACCCAAGGATAGATCCAAAGACTACTTCCACCAAAGATGACACAGTACAGGATGAAGCAGAATCAACAGGATGAGTCTTCAGCAAGAACCTGATTCTTCAACAAGAATCTGATGGAGGGCTAGTGAGCACGACTTCTGATTACTTTTTCTGCCAAAAGGTAATATCAAGAACCCTTCTTGATTGCTCCCACAGTGGAGATCGAACAGGTATGGCGGCAATAGCAAGAGAGAGCAAGAGCAGAAGATAGAAACAGTCAAACTRTATGCTGTCTTCTCTTTTAAATTAGTAGACCGATGAATGAACTGGAGGTTCACCTTACTGCTCTATTTATAGCCTCAAAAAGCGGTTCTCCTAATCCCATTAGGAGTTTCCTAATCCAAATATTGTCTTTGGATCTGGACTCTCTTTAAGAGATAATGATAATCCTTTATCTTATCTGCAGATAGAGATCAACCCTCCTAATCTAATTAGGAGTTTCCTGATCCAAATCTCTATTTGGATCTGGACTCTCTGAGTGGATAGGGACAATCCCTTATCCTATCTACTGATCTAAATCCCAGAACTG